ATTGGCTTTGTAATAGTTATTGGTTTAATCAAACCTTTAGTATCTCGGTTTTCTGGTTAAATCTCTACTATGGATTGAACTGTATTCCCCCCAGAATCCTAACTTGTGGGTCTAATCCTGAATGTAATGGCGTTTGAAGATGAGGTCACTGGGAGGTTAATTTAAGCTAGATGAAGTCATGAGGGCAGGCACTTCATCATGGGATTAGTAGCATTGTAAAAACAAGAAGAGAGGTCGTTTTCTCTTTTGTGTGGACACAATGAGGTGACTGAGAGGAAGGGTGCCCTTACCTGTTTCAGACTTTAATCTCAGACATTCTAGCCTCCAGAACCATGAAAAATAATATGTGTGTTCAAGTCACCCAATCTACGGGATTATGTTACAGCAGCCAAGCCAACTAACAATTTCTTTTTTTCACAATACATTTTTCCTTTAAGATCTTGAAAATGTACGGAAATAGTAGATATTGGTTTAAAATACTGGGTGAAAATCTGTATACTCTAAAATGAATATGTGATCTTAAACTTTTTTACTATGCAGAGGAATATTCCTGGATGCTTTAGATATGAATCTCGTGACGCTGTGGAGACAGAATTGCCTTTCTAAGAAATGAGTACAGTGAGACTGTCTCAATAACCAAACTAGCTTATTACTAGTAACTAATGCACATGTAAGCGACTAAGGGCATTAAGATGTGGCCAACATCGCACATCACAATATATTTTTTTAAAGATTTATTTTTATTATTTTTTTTATTGGAAAGGTGGATATACAGAGAGGAGAGACAGAGAGGAAGATCTTCCATCTGATGATTCACTCCCCAAGTGAGCACAACGGCCGATGCTATGCTGGTCCGAAGCCAGGAGACTCTTCTGGGTCTCCCACGCGGGTGCAGGGTCCCAAAGCTTTGGGCCATCCTTGACTGCCTTCCCTGTGCCACAGGCAGGGAGCTGGAAGGGAAGCGGGGCTGCTGGGATAGAACCGGCACCCATATGGGATCCCGGGCGTGCAAGGCGAGGACCTTAACCACTGCGCCACTGCGTCGGGCCCACACATCACAATATTATAATGGTTAAGAATCTTGCTGGTTTATGAAGATTACATAATAATTTATATATATTAAAATTCCAGGAAAAAATATACTCACGTGCCAAGCTCCACCAGGTGGACCTTTACCAAGAACTAAGTGAGGGCTATAATGATGTTGTTCTAATTTCCAATGCAAAGTGGATGGGTAATCATACCCAAAGTCAGCATCTGGATGAAGAAGTGTATCAAAAAGTACTGCAACTGGATTGGATGATCGGCCCTTAAGGCCTTCAGGCAAGTATTCTAAGTCCTAAATGGAAAACAGAAAAAAAGGTAGAGTTTGGAAAAATTCAGAAGTTATCACAATCGTAATTATCCATCTAATTCAGCATTTCCCAGATAGTATCCTAGGCTATCCAACACAGATGTTCCTTGAATAATCAGATGATTTTTTGGAGGGTGGAGTGGCAAATACAGGAAAAGGCTGAGCTTAAATGAAGGCAACCAAATTCTTACCTTGGAAAACTTCAGAGGCCATTACATGCTAATGTTCTATCCTGTTGCTCTGGTGATAAAATTAAAGCACATTCAAAAACTTATGTAAGCATTTAGCACCTATTAAGATTGCAGGAAAAATGATTTTAGAAATCCAGTTCTAATAAGTTCAATAAAACAGAACCTAATATATTTATGAATTTAAAAGTGAAAATCTTACTTAAAATAATTCCAATGAAGAAACAATGTTCATCTCAGTAAAAGCAAACTGCAATGTAGTATAAAAAAATTTTGCTGAAATTGACATGCAAGAGGCAATACCTGATAAACAATGCAAAGATCTCTTTCTTCTTCTAGCTTACTATGTAATACTGTATTGGGGTGCATTGCTTCTGATGATAAATATGGTCTGTAGCCTGATAACATAAGAAAGGCATATTCCTGAAGGTCCATTTCCTATTTAAAAAACACAAGGTGCAAGGGGAAATGTCATGCATCTTTATAATCTGTTTTCCCCCCCTACTTTGAATGTAGTTCTTCCCCCTTGTTAATTCTTTCTTCTCTAACCTTTTAAAATTAGATGTTGGATAAGATTCTGATGTTTGTCTTCTCTATTATTTTCTTTTTGGGAGCCTCATCTACTTAAGCCTTCATCTCTCTGTGCTTCAGAAGTAAATTCTCTAAGTAAATTCTCGTTCCAGGAATACATCCCACTTTCCTGTATGTTGCGTCTTCCAGCCAACCTACTAATAATGTAAACACAGTGTGCTCCAAGGTGAACCCCGAGTCCCTTCGTTTAGATGCCCTCTCCTTTAAGCTGTATTCCACTGCAAGTCTAACGTGCAGCAAAATCTCACATTCATTCTGCCTCTAACATTATGCTGTCATCTATATCCAGTCAGTCATCTCTCACTTACATCCTCTCACCTGTAATACTATTATTTACTCACTGGCAAATCTTGTACATACTGCATTCAGATGAGCTTTGGTAACAGTCTGCCTGACATTTTCCTCTACTCTAAAAGCTTTAACTGCTTGTTTCTGGCTATCAAGACTCTCCATGTCCTGATCTCTATTCTTTCCAATTCTAGTTCTTTATACAAACACTGCCTTCCTCTACATCCATACACTTTAAACCAAACTGAACTTCTGGTTGAACTCAGCTTTATTACTTCCAATTATGAAGGCTTTTTTTTTTTAAGTCTTGTTAGGTTGGGCAGAGCAGAAATGACTCCACCACCATGTGAAAGTCAAGCTGACCCTCCCTTCCAGAAAGGTCTGGATGCCAAAACAACTTAACCTTATCTCTGCATAGAAGGTCAGTGCCCACCATGAGCACCCAGTGCTAACGGCCAGTAACGTGCAAACATGAGGAGCTGCTGCATTCTCCATCCCCCACACCTAAGATGTATAGGAGCCCAGTGGTGCATACGCTGGGCAGGTAATCCCTTCACGCAGTCAGCCTGCCATGTGGAAGTGGTCAGGGGCTGTCTCCTGCCAAGGAGCAGTCTGCTAGACTCTTCTCTGATGAATAAAACTGCCTGGAACTCCCTCTCTCTCTCAGTTGCCCATGAACCTAGCAAGTCTATATTGCCCTGACCTGACATGTCTCTGCCTTTCAAACAGTGAGTCTTTCCAAAAAGAAAAAAAAAAAGGATCATTGATGTTGTTTCTGCCATTCTGTAGGGCTTCTTTCTTAACCAGCAGTGCTTCATCTATAAGTGACATCCTTGGACACAGTTGCCTAGTGCTTAACAGTTAAATCTTTTTCTTTATTGTAGTCTTCATTTGTTTTTCACAATAGTGGCCTATCCAGGTTCTTTGGTCTGCTGACTTGGCCCTGAGAGAGTTTCTTTACACATTTGTGTATGTTTTTTATGCATTCTGGTATTGAGGGGTTATTTCTGTTGTTGTAGTTGTTTTTGGTCATTTCCCTTGTGGTTAACTCTTCTGTGCCTCTCAAGATAAATGTGTTGCTGCTTCTTCTCAGTATCTTTTCAGTCCTTCCCTTCCTGTCTGAGCTATGGCTCCCTGGTTTGAATTCTGATCACCCAAGTTACTATAAAATTCTCTTGGTCATTCTGCTCACCATATACCATAACATTAAATCAGTGTAAAAACATCACCTTAATGGGTCCAGTTTAGCAATAAGCCTGTAAGCATTTGAGAGCAGGGACCTAGGTCTTTGCTTTTTCGTGATCCTGTCACACAGTAAATGCATGGAATGTCAGTAGCATCTTTAAGATTTAGTTATTTTGGGCCTGGCAGCGTGGCCTAGCAGCTAACGTCCTTGCCTTGAACGCGCTGGGATCCCATATGGGTACCGGTTCTAATACCGGCAGCTCCACTTCCCATCCAGCTCCCTGCTTGTGACCTGGGAAAGCAGTCGAGGACAGCCCAAAGTATTGGGACCCTGCACCCGCGTGGGAGACCTGGAAGAGGTTCCTGGTTCCTGGCTTCAGATTGGCGCAGCACCGGCCATTGTGGTCACTTGGGGAGTGAATCATCGGACGTAAGATATTCTTCTCTGTCTCTCCTCATCTCTGTATATCTGACTTTGTAATGAAAATAAGTAAATCTTTTTTAAAAAAAGATTTAGTTGCTCTGATCTGTTAACTTAAGGTGAGTTGACCTGTCAAGTTTTATCCTTTGGATAATGTTCACTACCCACAATTCCCTACAATACATATCAGCTGCTGTCTCCTGGCAGCAGAGTATTTTTATATATATATGTTTTTACCTTTTTCTCAGCACTGATTTATCAATTCTGCTTCAGCAGAGAAAATATGGATTTCCATATTGCTTGAGCCACAAGATCCATTAGTCCTATCACAACTGCAGAATGCATGTAAATATGAAATGCTTTCAAATGTTTTTGTCTTTTCTTTGTTGAAATCTAAGGGAAAGAGATGGAGAAGATCAAGAAATGTCTTCATCCAAGTCAGCACGAACAGAAATGTCTTGTTCTCTTCTAGAACAAACCCAACCTGCCCCAGTCTTAATATGGGAAAATACACAGCAGCATCTATCTCAGAATGAGCTTCTTGACAAAGAAACAGATAACTTGATTCTAGTGAACAATTTCAAGTCTGATGTGAAAAATTCTGCTGATAAATCTCTTTGCCCGGAAAAGCTAATAACTAAAAAGAGAAAAGAAATGGATGATCGGGCCATAGAAGATGAAGTCTTGGAAGAGTTATTCAAGAACAGAAAACCAGAGTTGGAAATGCAAGTGAATGTTCATAAACAAGAGGACAATGTCAATATGAGAAAAAGGACCAAGATGGATCTGGAAACAGGCAGCACTCGCAGTGATGAAACAGCACTAGAAAGAGACAAAGGATCTGTAAGTGTCTTTTAAAATTTGTGTACTGAATGATTTATTTGAAAGGCGGTGTGACAAGAAGGGAAGGATGTGGGGAGAGAGAGAGATTGCAGCCAGGTGGCCATGACAACCTGGACTTGGCAAGCTCAGTCTCAGCAATAGGAATTCCATGCAGGACTCCCCGTGGTGACATGTTGAATCCAGCCTGAGCTGGATTTCCAAAAGGTAGTTTCTAAACTATGTTGATGGTAGAACTATTCTGTGCTTTCTTTTTTTTTTTTTCTAAAATGTATGTATTTGTTTGAAAGAATAACAGAGAGGGCTGTTGAGAGAGATACCTTCCAGCTGCCAGCTCACTTGGCAAATGGCCATAGCAGTTACGGCAAAACCTGGAGCCAGGAGTTACATCCTGGTCTTCCATATTGGTGACAGGGGACTAAGTACTTAAGCTGCTCCCTTCCTAGGCGGGCGTGTCAGCAGGAAGCTGGAACAGGAGTGGAGCAGGAGGATTTGAACTGGCCCTCAGGTATGGTGTTCTGGTAACACAATGTGCAGCTTAAACCATGTTAGCACAATGCCAGCCCCTAGAACTGTTCTTTCTACTTTGGGACTTAATACAGATTCTAGTATGTCCATAGATTTACTGTGAGTTAAAATGGAAAACTTAGTGCTATTCCTGCAATGATTTTATCCTTTTTCAGTTATTTCTATTCTGTTTGAACTTTTATTTTATTTTCAATGTTATTTACAAAATTGAGGGAAATGTACAGCATGTGGGCCTCCAGTTAGGGTGGGGAGGGAGGAGGGTGGGACAGATGTATCAGTTCTTTTTTTCTTTTTTTCTCATGTGTCCACAGTGGGAAAGAAAGGAAGTCACTCCTTGCTGTCAAACTACATCAGCACCTAGGGATGGGGGCCAGTCATTTGATGAGAATTAGAGACCCCGATGTTGAGAAGCATGTTGCAAGGGTGATAACTTGAGTGGTTGTGTTAGTTCTGAGATGTTGTCAGCTTCATTGCATGAGGTTGAGAAAATTTGCAAGGTTTATCAGCTCCAAGTCTTATGAGGTCACTCCTCATCTGTCAGGCATGCTCTCAGGGCTGCCCACTGCAACAGGCCCCTGACCCCCTTCCTCAGGTAGTCTGCAGCACCCCTGCCATTGAGCAGCACACAGTAAGCCTGAGGTGTGTGCAGGGGGCTTCCCAGCCTAGTGTCTGTCCCCTGCCCCCCACTGCATGGCATTTGCTGCAAATCTTTAAAACCAATAAGATAAAATAAGCAGCTATGCTGGTACACTGATTTACATAACACTGGATCGGCATTATCCAGGCCAAGAATGCCCACCAGATATTGGCTGCTTTTCTCCCAACAGTAGAACACTTGTCTAGGTCCAAGACAATCTAGGCAATTGCCTCCTGCAATGGTAACATTCTTAGTAGCACACATTGCATCTGTGGTCTAGTTCTTCCTCCCCTCATTATACCCGCCTAGTCCAAAGTTTTCCTTCTCATTTAAAATTATATCATTTTTCACTACCCTGTCATAATAGCTATTACTTGGAAGATACCATCATTATATTTACAGTTAACCTGCAATGCAGTAGTAAATATCCATTGAACATGGGTGGACACTAACTGTACTGGGTCTCACAGATACTGGGACTTATGTTGATGCCCTGTGATTTTGATCTCTTCTGTCAGCTTTCCCTGAATGTCATTCGTTCATTTAGTTAGTTACACTGGAGACTGAACATGCAAATATGAAAGGCAATCTGATATATTATTTTTCATAGGCCTTGAGTAAGATCTCTGACCTGGTGATAGACTTACATGACACATGAGAAAGAGTATAGGTCATCCCCAAGCTTACATTCTGAGAATCCACATTGATAATTATGTGATTCTCTAAGTTACAAAATAAAAAGTTAGAGGCTGGTGTTATGGTGTAGTGGGTTAGGCCACTGCGTGCCATGTCTGCATCCCATATAGGAACTGGTTTGTCTTTGCTGCTCCTCTTCTGATCCAGCTCCCTGCCAATGGCCAGGGAAAAGCAGTGGAAATAGTTCAAATGTTTGGACCCCTGCCACCTGTGTGTGAGACTTGGGTGAAGCTCCTGGTTTCAGCCTGGCTTAGTTCTAGGCAATGCAGCTACCTGGAAAGCGAGCCGATGGATGGAAGATATCTCTCTCCTTCTCTCTCAGTAACTCTGTGTTTCAAATAACTAGATAAATGTTATTATTAAAAAAAAATAAAACCCTAGGAGAATTAGCAGGTTGGAGGATGTAGAGAAGAGGAAGGTAGGAGAAGGTTCATATATTGAATTTGTTATCATTGTGTCTAAATGAGGTTAAAATATTCTGAAGGTGATAGCAACTGGATGTATATTAAAGTAGTTATGCCTAGTCAGGTTGAAGACACGTATTTACTCGTAATAATTGGTGAGTGAAGCATTAATTTTCTTTAGTTCCTAAACATGCACTTTCCAATCTCCTTTTCAAAAGTGATGTGAATATTTATTGGTGTAACATCGAAAACTTTATATAAAATGATATATTATGCACTATATCTAAAGGGATAGTAGTTGTACTCAAAGTTTTGGAAGCTCTATATAATGTGGTTTTTGCTGTAAATTCCTAAATAACAAGTAATTTTATTTCTCCTTTTCCATCCCTTATGACTCCATTTAAGAACGATGATGAACTTCGGGAAGATGGCGAGGAGCTTCCAAAGAAGCTGTTACTGACTGACTGAATTTAGATCATTGGTGATTAGCTCCACTTACAGAAATCTGTCAGATGTAAATATTGATTATGGTCAACTGAAGAATTTCAAGAAATTCAAAAAGGTAGTTATTTTTAAGTGTATCACAAGAGGGCAGTGTTTGAAATGTTTTTCGAAATATTGTTAGAGTTAAATGGTAATGAAAGCAGTTTATGTTCAAAACTGATACAATTTCTCCTACCTAAAAGCTGAGCATAATCAGTAATGAAAGCTGTAGGCATTCTATTATTACATGCCTTTATAAAACCAAATAGAAACCCAGTCATGTATCTCTTAACAGCACTGAGATACATTCTGAGAAGACAGTTTCATCATTGTGTGATACCATGGTGTAGATCATATCACCTGACTATGTATCTAGCTGATATATTAAAACTGTTTGGAACCAGTGTCAATAATGTAAGGGTGTTATTGACCAAAAACACCATAATATACACATTACTCCATGGACACTGAATGTTGCATCAGATCTGAATTCCTGCTTATTAAGGAACTGATATTGCATAAACTTGATTAGTGCAACTCATCGGATATCACTGATTCGATCAGCGTGAGTTTGTCATCTGTTCTGGGAATTAGTTTCTTGATCCAGACCTAACACTAACAGGTGGTCTTTGCCCTCTGCATTTGATCAAAGAAGTGTAATTATTTCAGTGTCTGCCGTAACTGACATAGTGTAGCTCTTTGTCTGTGATGTGAGCGTGTACTGTTGTCATTTCTCAGGTTGATTTGTACCTGCTATGATGCTATCTAGAGGGGTCTGAACTCCGTCCAACAGGAGCAATCTCTTCTGCTTAGACGAGATCCCTCTCATATGACGCCTTTTTAGTGGTGCACTTGCTCTTTCCCAACTCACAGCTGTGGCTTGTGAATAGAAACTCAGAAGAGACGAGATTTTATTATTGATTAAGTTACCAGGGAAAAATGTGTTTGATATTGGCATAGTAGTAGCTATAAAACAGTGTAAGTAGTCCAAGTACCTAGAAAGCAGTTTGAATATATAAAAATCATTAGAAATATTGATATGCTAAAACTTATTTTTAAACTGCAAATGGTGTTCAAACCAAAATTTATTTGGAAATGGTACTGGATTGAATGAACTTGAGTGTTATCCAAATCAATAATATGGTGGTTATTGTGCTTTGTAAAATGCATTTGCACACAGAATGTTTTTAGTGCAAACTGTTCATTTGTAAATAGTTAAAAGGTCATTTAGAGTATGAATTGATCATTGCATTTGTTAGTTAAGTGTTAAAAACCGTATTACTTTGGCTGATTAACAGGTCACGTTTCCCGGAGCAGGAAAACTGCCACACATCATTGGAGGATCAGATCTAATAGCTCATAATGCTCGAAAGAATGCGGAATTGGAAGAGTGGCTAAGGCAGGAGATGGAGGTTAGTACAAGTGAAGCCCACAAACTGAGATACACTACAGATGCAAGTTTCTTAAGATTGAGCTCCTAAAGGCAACCACTGAAAACCAGAAACAAGGATAACTGGCCTGAGATGATCAAGAAACGTGAGATCTGAAGCCTTGAGATTAATCTGTACTTTCTGGATCACTTCTTTTAGAAAATTCTAATTTTTTTGTTATTAGTTTACAAAATGGTATACAAGATATGGGTTAGTGAACATTCTAATCTAAATAGAGGAAAATTAAAAAAAATTTTTTTAAAGATTCATTTATTTATTGGAAAGTTAGATATACAGAGAGGAGGGGAGACAGGGAGGAAGATCTTCCGTCCAATGATTCACTCCCCAAGTGAGTGCAATAGCCGATGCTATGCCGATCCAAAGCCAGGAGCCTCTTCTGGGTCTCCTACACAGGTGCAGGGTCCCCAGGTTTTTGGCCGTCCTCAACTGCTTTCCCAGGCCACAGGCAGGGAGCCGAATGGGAAGTAGAGCTGCTGGGATTAGAATCGGTGCCCATATGGGATCCTGGCGCGTTCAAGACGAGGATGTTGGCTGCTAGGCCATGGCGCCGGACCCGAAATAGAGGAAAAATTTTAAGCCACAGAAAAGAATGGGTGTTTAGCCTTACCTAGATTTTAATAATAAAGCAGAAACTGTGATTAAACATACCTGATCATTTATCATAGGGAATTTTCTTGAGTATTTCCCGTTTTGGAAACCATTAAAATATGGTGTGCCTACCAACAAGTGCACGATAGCTGCAGATCAGTGAGTGTTTCTGTGCTCACAACCACCATCCAAGTTAAGAACAAAACATTCCTAAGCCCTGGAGTCCAGTTTGTATTTATTTATTTTTTACAGTAAAGTGGGTAAGACTATTATTTCCACATTGCGTTTTTCCTGTATCTTGGGTAAAGGGGGAGATAAAGGGAGAAGCCCCACCCAGTCTTATACCCATCCCAGGACCCTGATGTGGAGCATGCTCCTAGGGTCTTGCTCAAGTTCTTTTGATAGTTCAACAGTTATGAATTGCTGCCAATCTCACCATTACAAGCACGATAAAATTGCTGCATAATCCACTGGTAGACCTAGTCCACCTTCGGGTCTCCGTTTGCCCAGTTTTTCACTGCCATCTTATGGCTGGGATAGTTGATTGATTTGTTCTGACCTTGTTGTGATGCCACGTATCCTCTGCAGGTTCCAGTATACTGCCATATCTTCCATTTTCAGCTGTTTACGCTCTTTATTGCTCCTTCTGAGCCTCTGAGGCAGATTGGCTCTGGCACTTGCATTCCATTGCAGACCATTGGTTCTGAGTCTGACACTTCAATTGGGGAGAGCCCGAAAGAAACTGTCTGAGGTGATCCCAGACCAGATTCTTGTGTATACTTGCAGGTACAGGGCCCGGTACAACCATTGCCCCAATAACTGGTGGTTGAAATTGCTGGGTCAATTCTGTTTCCAGCCCTGTCTTCCACTGGAACCCACTGGTGTTGCAATCCAGCCTGATTCTGCCCAGCACACCTGGAGTCCAGCTTTTATTTAATCTGTTATCCTCTCCAAGTCCAATTTGGCGTCAGTTAGATTTTCTTTCTTTTTTTTTTAATTTTTGAATCCATTTATTGAAAATTTAATTATCATTCTTTAAAGTGTATTTTGTCACTAGTATAATTTAGATGACTCCTTTTGTTATGATTTACACAAATTTGTTAACAGAGCATGAAAGTAATTAATTATAATAAGACCCAGAAAAGATCATTATACTAAATATTTAAGAATTTTCACTTGTAGTACATATTATTACATGAAGTTTCACTCTACATTCTTTAAGATCATTGGTTTTTCTTTGCTTCTAATTTTTTCTTTCTTTTTTTTATTTTTTTTCACATTTTATTATTATTGCTATCATTTTACGATACAGTTCCATATTCCCTTACCCTCTCCCCAATTCCCTTCCCCCCCAGTTCCTTTATGTCATTATTAACATATAGTTCTTCATACTCAGTCATATGTTCATCACTGCGGGCATGGACACTGGCAGAGAGTCCAGAATCCTATTGTCAAAATATAATATAAACACTTTAACTGTAAGTCCACTTTGTCTGGAAACAGAGATGCATACCACACTGCATCCTCACATCTGGTTGTTAGTCTCCATTACATAACTACTGTACATTCCCTTAAATGAAAAGTCATGATACAGAATCAACAATAGAAAGAAAAATAGAAATTTACAATGCCATGAAGTTAAATGACATGTTACTAGATATGACAGTCTTCATTACACAACTACTATGCCTTCCCTTAAATGAAGAGCCACAAAACAAAATCAACTTCCGGGAGAAAAAAGAAATTAACAACACCAAAAAGTTAAACAACATGCTGTTAAATGTATAACATGTAGCTGAAGAAGTGAAAATCAAGAACCTTCTTGAAGAAAATGATGCCACTGTATGACCTACGAGTCATTGAATGATTTAATCAGAAGAAAGTGTTTTGAAGAGATGAAACCAACAGAAAACAACAAAACCCATGTGATATAGTTCCCACTGGTCTTTGTTAGAGTGTGTCTCCTCCCGACAATAAACAGATGGGTTTTGTTTTTTAATCCAGCCTACTAATCTATGATGTTTGATTGAGCTTAAGCAATTTGCATTTAGAGTTAAATATACATAGGTGGTACTTTGGTCCTGTCATTTTAGGAATGGGTGATTCATTGATTTAGTCTTCTGTTGTCATTTTACTGAGATGTTCTTCCCATTTGCCTTTGGTTTTGGTAGGTGCTATTCCTCTTCTCTGCCAAGAGAACATCTTGAAGTATCATTTGTAGAGCAGGTTTAGAAGAGGCAAATTCTTTTAGCTTTTCTTTACTCTGGAAGAATTTTATTTCATTTTCAAAGACAAAAGAAAGCTTTGCAGGGTATGTTATCCTAGGCCGACAATTTTTTTCTTTTAGAATCTGGAATATGTCACTCCATTCTCTTCTTGCCTGTAGAGTTTCCTGTGAGAGATCTCCTGTGAGCTTAATTGGCCTTCCTTTATATGTCAATTGATGTTTTTCATGTGCACATTTAAGGATCTTTTTCTTATGTTCAATTGAAGAGAGCTTGATAATCATATGTCTTGGTGAAGATTGCTTTTGATCAAGCCTGTTGGGAGTTCTGTATCCCTCCTGGATCTTGTTTCCCAATTCTTTCTCCAGATAAGGGAAATTTTCCTTTATTATTTCATTAAATACATTTGCAAACTCAGCTTCTCTTTCTGTACCTTCTGGGACTCCCATAACTCTTATATTTGGCCTCTTAATAGTGTCTTTCAATTCTTGAATACTTTTTTAAGCCTGATCCAGCTCTGCTTCCAGCTTTTTGTTTGCTTCCCCCTGGTGACAGGAGATATCTTCCAATTCTGAGATTTTTTCTTCTGCTTGCTTCATTCTATTTTGGAGACTCTCCACTGTACTTTTAATTTGCTCTACTGTGTTCTTAATTTCTGATATTCCAGTCTTGATTTGCTTTACTGCTTCCTTAAATTCTTTGAACTCTTGCATTAACTTCTCATTTTTGACCAGAATCTTTAAAATGAGTCTTATGGATTCTGTGTCCCCTATTTTCTCAATGTTAACTCTGAGGTTGGCATAGGGTTTTGCTCCTTTGCAGGGGAGTTTTCAGTAATATTCATTGTGCCTTTGTCTCTTCTTTTGCTCTTGGTCATTGTACTTCTGGTTAGCAGAGTCTTCTCCTTGGGGCAGGTTTCTAAGCTGTGTCACCCACAGGTCTACAATGCGATTTTACTTATTGTAGTTGGTACACAACTTTTTGCTTGCAGCCACTTGTGCCACAACCTCCAGTGAGTTCCAGGTCTGGCTTCTTATGTCAGATATCCACCGTGGTCTCCACAGCCCCAGCTCTTGGCTCACCACTCTCCACCTCCTGTGATACCATGCTGAGACTGCACTATTGTCTCTGCAACCTTTCTCCCTCTTCTGGTTGGAGTGGGTTCCAGGATTAAAGAGACACCAGGTGTCCTATCTAGTTAGGTTGTTGGTGGCGCTGATCTTGTCGGAACTTGTTGGATGTTAGGTCTGGGTGCCACACGGACCTGTTTTGACTGGTACAATGCCACAGTCGGTATTATTTTCCTGCGGGACCTCAGCGAGTTCTCGCGAGCTCAGCACATGTGCAGTTCACTGTTGTCCCCTGCAGTCCCAAAGCTATTGCCACAGTGCACAAAATGGCACCCGATGTGCTACCACCACTACAGTTCTTGATCTGCTGGCCGTCAGATCCAAGGGCTACCCAGACCTGCCCCGGATGGAACCCGTAGAATGCCACGTCGTTGCAGTTCACTGAGTCAGAAATGAGCTCACCCTCCGCTCAGAGCATGCTCAGTCCTTTCCCTTGCCCTTTCCTCCTTAGGCAAAATGGCGAACAATTCAGCTCTAGGGGGCTGACTGGGCTATGAAATCCATGCTGTTCTCGCACTGCCCGCCTGGGATCTGCTGCTCTGTCTCTGCTCCTGGTCAAATCAAATGAACCAGCAGGACAGACAGTTCCCCGTCTGGGTGCACCTCCCAAGCTCCCAGTGAAAGTCCCTTCCCACCTGGTTGCTGGTGGAGTTCTGGCTGCTGGTGGAGTTTAGATCGCCATGCTGGAATATCATTCACTGCAACACCACACTGCTGTGCCCGCTGCTTTTCTGTGTCTGTCAGTACACGGGAACCCCTCTGTTGTTGTTCTGTCCTTTCGTATTTCCTGAAATATGTCCTCTCTGCTTCATTCTGGTTAAATGCTTCTCCGTCCATTTAAACGTGTCCTTACCCTATTCCGCCATCTTGATTCTCCGTCAGTTAGATTTTCTCAAGATTTTCTCACCATTTTCTCCCATGCATCCTGACCACTTTCCTACATGTTTTCTTTCTTTATATCACCGAACTTTATTTTTGGCGATATCTTTGGATAATCTCCCCATTTACAGCTTCTTTT